AAAAACTATCTTGTAAAAACGAAAAAACTATCTTGTAAAAACAAGAAAATTATCTTGTAAAAAACGAGAAAACTATCTTGTTATATCAAGATAACCATCTTGCTATAACGTGTTATGGTTTCTTCTGGTTTGTCACTTTCACGGATGTTTATTGCCTGCATGGCGTGATGGAGAACTGAACCACTATATAAACAAAAACTAATAGAATTATTTGAGTTTGTGCTCTGACGTAACTAGTAGCACTTCTTTAGCAATATTCACTCTCTAATCTGAATTCAGACGCTATTATTTCAAAAATATTATTCAGTACTAACTTTGTCATTTTTTAGTCTAGAAATGTGTTCCTCTTGCAGATTTCCTCTTCGTAAAAAGGCTAATAGTAGCTCAGTCATGTTCTCCATCACGCCATCCAGGCAATAAACTTCTGTTTAAGTGACAAACCAGAAGAAACCATTGCATGTTATAACGAGATCTCTTGATATAAGATATCTTGATGTAGTTTTCCCGTTTTTACGAGATAGTTTTCTCGTAATAACGAGATCCAGTTTAAAAATAATTTCATGTCATGTGACGCTTCTGTACATCTTTAGCTCATATAAACAGAATACGAAAAATGCAATTTTCTAGGAGGGGAAATAAAAATGTGCTAAAAACAAGCAGCTAAATAACAAATAAAAAAAAGACTAAGTTACAAAATAAAATCCCTTCCTGTCACAAAACGATGGACATTTACTTGTACCATTTTTTTCTATTAAACCCTTTTCTCAGAATAAATAAAAATATCACACAAATACAATGAAATTCAACACAGAAGAAAAGCAAACAAATCCTGTTAGCTTATATAATTTAAGACAAAAACAACAAAAAACTAAATTATTTTAGACATACATAACATGACATTAAAAATGTCTTATTGCTAATTTAAAATGTAGTTTGCTTTGATGCAGCCAAGCTTTGAAATACAACCTCGTGTAACGACAGCAGATAAAAACAAGAAACAAAGCAAAACAACAAGAACTGATGGGTGAAGTTAAGAAACGTTCTGTTTCCTGATTGGGAATTGATTTAAGGCATGAATTCTAGTTTTCTGAGCTGATCTGAAGTGCATATATTAAAACATTAACAAGATGCTTTTGTTCTCCACTCACGAGTCTGAATCCTTCACCGTCACTCCCCAAAAACCATCCCCGCCAAACTGAGCTGAGCTTCGTCTCAACATTAAAGCTCCTCAGCTGCGGGGAGGCTCCGCCCCCACAGGAAACCAAACAACCACTTGCTGAAGTTGCAAAACACACACCTATATATAAAAAAAAAATTTTTTTTTCTTATGAACCTACAGAAAACCCACTTGAATATTCTGGAATCAAACACATTAAGACTCGACTGCTGCGAACACCTGAGACTACAGCCTACTTAAAAACAGAGAACATGATCAGGATCACCTGCAGCAGGCTGTCCTCACCTGGCTTCCCACACACCGACAGAAAACACTGTTCACACTTTGCTCTGAGCCCATTAACCACATTGATTKTTGTCTTTTAAGCATCCTACGCCTCGGGGCTACTCTGAAAATGATTATTGTCAACTTGCAGTGAAGTGTTTTTTAAAATCACGATTGACGAGGTTATGAAGGGATCAAACCTCCATTCAGGATGACATTTCTTTTGCCCCCTTTTTTAATAAAACTAATATAAACTTTTATAAAACTTTCACTTTCAGGTCATATTTGCTCTTTAAAACATTTGTTCAATTTAATAGCCCAATTTGTAGTTAGAAATTTATCAGAAATGCGCATAGCGAAGCCTAGCTATAGGTCACAGGTCACCCATGTAAATGCTGAGGTTGCTGTGAAAACATTGTAATTGTGCAAATTCATCGAGCTCAAATAGCACATATATAGCTTAGATATTAATGAAAATCCTCATTTACGATCCTCAAGGAAAGTTTATCACAAATTAGTTTAGAGTACATACATCAGGTATTTATAACGGCGTAAATTTACCCGTTAAATTCATGCAGTTACAATGGTGTCAATAGCAAACGCAGCTGTTTCCCCGATAAACACGTGACGTCGGCTCGCTTCGCGCGTTTGTGATCATTTGTAACTATGAAATCACAAAAACTCGTAATAGGCATGAAATGACTCAAGGTTTTCACCATTATGTTTGATTTATAGTCAGAAACGATGCTTCAGTTATGACTGGATAGCGAGCTAACACATACTAGCGAGTCAAGCTAGCACATACTAGCGAGTCGGACTGAAACAACTCAAAGCCGAGGGAGGGGGGTGTGTGAATACGGTGATTACTTTCATTATGTTTTCTTTTTAGTTTCTAAGTATTAAAGTTAAATCAACAAACACGACCTGATTTTGTGTTCTTGTTATGGTGTGAAGTGAAAAAGATACAGATTTCACCTCTTTTTCTTAGAAAACCCGGCAGGGACTGCTCCTTAAGCCTCCGTGATCAGGTCCAGATCTCGGTAACAAACATGATCCAGTTTTTCAGGATTCCAGTTTTAGATGCGTCGAGGATGTTTTATGTTTCTGTCGTGCTCTCTTGCTGGGGGAAACCTTTAAAAAAGGGAGTAAAACTGCTCCAGAACAATAAAACGTGCTTTTGGAAATTCACCCATCCACCCAGTTAAAACCTACTTCGCCGAAGCGGCTTTTAAAAAAGTAACTTTGTTGCGTTAATTAAATTTTTTTCTTTTGTTTTGTGGCAAAAACAGCTCCAGTCCCACAAGTCGAACGGAGTCTTGAATCGGTGTTCAGGAAACCAACCACTAAAAGCCCCGATGCCACGCTGCACGCACAGCAACACCTCCACTATCTACTCGGATAAAACATCAACAACATCCAAAACCTCACTTGGTACAAAATATCAAAATAAATTTTGTATAAATAATTTAAATAGCTATACTAAAGCTGAAGTCTTGCTCTAAATTAAAAAAAAAAACTAAACAGCCACAGACAAGTGCTGATCATGTTCTGTACAATTAAAGAAATAGAGATTTTTTTGATGCTAGGGTGGAATTTTAGAGACGACTCCCGAAGCCACGGTTAAAAACGTTCGGCTCGTCTTTCTGACAGGACGTCGGGTCGTAAAGTGTCCGCCGACAACGTTCTTTTAGAAACCCGAATGATCCTACGTCCGGGGACGGCTTAGCGGCTCCACTCGGCGTTCGCCCCTAGCCGTCCCCCAGAACCTTCGACAGGTCGCCAAAGTCACAGTCGAACAGTTCGCTGATTCCTTCGTGGTCCTCCAGTCCGAAGTGGTAATCGTAGCTGTGAGGAGGGGAGAGGTTGATGAAACACTCCAACGGGAGGGGAAGACCCTCTCCGTTCAAGAGGTCCGAGCTCGAGAGGGGCAAGAGGTCAAAGTCTGTGATGTCTCCAAGGTTGGAGAACGGGTCGCCCCCCAGGAGCGATTCTGTCGAGGAAAGAAGCGTGATTAAAATGTTGAACGACAGCAGAGAATTACTAAAACACCTGTTCTCTGTTCAACTAAACARCTCTGGGGGCCACAGTTGCTCAAATAAACAGTGTTGCTTAATTATAAGGGGATTTACTGCTCATTGGTGGGCCAGATGTGGCCTGTGAGCCACCAGTTGGAAAGCCCTGAAATAAAACATTAAAAAAAAAAGGGTAAATCCTCACCGGAGTCGCTACCTAACACGAGCGACGAGGCGTCCTGCTGCGAYGTCGCCGTCACCGTGGACGACGTGGACGCCGGCGATGACGCGATCTCGTCCTTGGCCGGCGTGCACGTTCCGGACCGCGGCTGCCCTGCAGTTCCCGAGGGGGGCGGGGCCAAGGAGGGCTCGTCGTTGCTTTTCGAGGGGCTGCTTCCCGTCATGGGGCTGCACACGCCGGAGCTGTCTTCTGGACAGAGGAAGACGTCGATCGGACCCTGCGTGCTCTTCAGCGACACCTGGTAACTCTGGGAAGACACAGAGATGAGGCGCCGTTAGCTGAAACCCCGCCCACAAAAACTCAACGATGCGCTCCATTTAAAAAAAAAAAAGGCTGTGAAAGGCGTTCACCTCGCTGGGTTCTGAAACTTGCATCTGGGTCTCTGGTGGAGCTCTGATCACCATGACCAGCTGGTCCGGAGAGTCGGACGACTTCCTCAGGTCCTGGCAGCGCACGTAACCCAACGTGATCGACAGCAATGAAGGAATAAATAATTAGCTTTTTGTAATGAAGGAATGAATGTTATCTAAACCTGCGTCTGCTGCACATCGATGCTCCAGTAGGCCTGTCATGATAAAGTGTCTCAGGAATTATCGCAATAAGCAATACCGTCTAATAATTTTAGGCCAGGCTCATGCTCAGTGTTGTATAAAGAACCACAAAGTGATACTCAAGTAAAAGTACAAGTATCTTACCAAAAAATTACTTTGTTAAAATTTAAAGTCTCTTTTAGGAATATTACTTGAGTAAAAATCTTAAAGTATCTGATATTTGTTTGTACTTAAGTATTAAAAGTAAAAGTATTGATTTA